TAGAACAATAAAAAAGAGAGGTTCAGGCTCGGCATATAAAGCAGGTTATAGTTAGGTTTACAATGACTGTTTAGACCTTGTCTAGATAAAGACAGAAGATAGAGAGCATAATTAGAAGGACTAGCTCAAATATGATAAATAAAGCAGGTTATAATTACGTTTACAATACTTTTTCGGACCTTGTCTAGATAAACCATTTTTTGGTACAATTTTTAGGCATTAAGACCTGTTTTTAAAAAGCACTGCAGGATTTCTTTATTTTGTTGGTATTAGCTGTTTAATTTCATAAATAGTTGTACTTTTTTTCTTGGAGTCTTTGTACCATTTTATCTACTCATATACTGCTGAAGCTGTTGTTTTCAACCTGCCTAAGTGTAATTTGAGGTAACTTTGAGGAAAAAGTCATTTGTATCATTTTATGTACCAACACACCAATTGAGATTGTAGTCTACTAGCTCAAGTGTGATTGTGTGATTTAAAGGATAAATTATTTCAAAAATTTACTATAATTATAAATATTAAGTCTAAATTTATCTCCATTCACCATCATTAATTATTTACGTGTAAAACCAACTGTATTGTTATTAAGAAAAGAATTATTCAGTATATTTTACGTCTTTTTGTTTAATTCAACGCATTAGCAAAAAAACATGCAGAAAGTTAATATCACTATTTTAGAATATCATATCAGCTACCTAAATTCCTAGTACTTGCTATACCATAATAAAAAAAAAAAAGTTATTTACAATAAAAACATGTATACCAAAAATTCAATAAACATAGATGCCAAAAAATCTGTTTTTTATAATTCTCAGTCTCTGTTAAACTTCCGTTATCAGAACTCTACTAAAGTTTTAATAAGATGTTGTAATTTTCTTATTTTTAATTCTCTTAGCCAACTTGTACCATTTTCCACACATGGGTGTAACACTATCAATATCATAGCCACTAATGTACCCGAACTATTTCAAACTATTTTTCATGAAAATTTACTAAGTGTAAACTGGTAAACATTCTTTTAAAATCACGATAATGTCTATTCCATGGTTTTTTCTGGTTTAATGATTGATAGATGATACCCTCTACAATCCATTAAAAGGAGAAGCAACAATCTTTCTTGGATAGCTCCTCGAATTCAAAATCAAAAATACGTTGCCCTGAGAGAAAAAAACTAGCAACAACAGTAGCGAGATCAAAGCAGTCTTAGAAATATTAATACAGATTATACTATCAACAAAAAAAATGGAATGCCATAAACAATATTATAAACCCATGTGAAAAACCTAAAATTTTCACACTGTTAAAATACATTGAATTAAATGATACCTTCTACAATCAAAGCTTTGCTTAAGTCAAGTTTCCATCTGCATGGAAAAAAGCTCTTGTAATTTTGATTAAAAAAAAATCCAAATTCTTTGCAGTGGTGAAATGATATTAGAGAAGATTGCATTCAAATCCTTCTCTTGAGAAAAAGTTTAATCCTTCTCAATTTTTTACCTGGTCTTTGTAAAGTACAACTAATGTTCTGCTAATGTTATTTGGACTTTAAACAAACTTCTTATTGTGGGTAATTTTGATGTGTTAGTATCGACTTTAAAAAACATTCAACAAAATCTTTTATCTCGCTGTCTTCCTTGCAGCTAAAAATGATTTTAAATTACCTGACACTGTTTTAACATGGATTAAATCATTTTATTTCACTGCTCTCAAAAAGTCATTGTTTCCAGCGCCTCTCCAACTTAAGTTTCTTGGACTAATACCACTAGTGGAGTTCCACAAGGGTCTGTGCTTGGAACATATCTCTTTGCCATGGTAGTCAATGGTAAGTTTTTTGACCAATCCAGAAGTCTCTTAAACTTGTATTTTGATGACACCTCACTATTACATTATGTTAGATGCAATGACTCCGATAATTCCCATGAAGAAGTTATTAATTGGTTAAGTTGGTCATTAAGCCCTAAAATACATGTTAATGACACAATAACTTAATTGATTGATTTCTCATTTGAAAGTTCTAAGGGTTTGCCAATATTTGTTGCAGGCAATACATTAGAAACCCAACTCTTACTCAAACTCCTCAATGTGACCTTACAAAATGACCTTAAGTGGAACACTCATTTCAAAAACATCCATCAGAAATGTTGCGCAGAAATGTCTGCTATTTATTGCCTGGCATCTTTTGGCATCCCTCCTGATTTAATATGGAAAACTTACCTTGCCTTATTTTTTTGCATATGACTTACCCTTGGTCTGCGTTTGTTATACTTCTAGCTTTCAATTCATGAAATTTTCAACAATAGAGAAACATGCAGCTATCATATGATTGCAGCATGTAAAAAATGCCCATGTTCAAATCAACCCACAAAATATCTTGTAGGCATCTACCTCAGATTAATCAAAAAAGTTGCTAAATCAAATGATCACTTTCTTCAACCATTGTTTTTAGTTTATTTTAGTTTTTAGTTTGTTTTAGACCTATAGTGCAAAATAAACAGCAACTTTTGCACCCAAAATCATCTCAATTAATAAAACCTTTTAAGGGTTTTTGTAAATTCTTATAAATACCTAGATATTGTATTTATTTATAAAGGAAATAATAATAATAGTAAATCTAGAAGATAAAGAGCACAACTAGAAAAACTAGCCCAAATATGAGATCAGTATTCCAAACAGAGATGAATAAGAGTTTTATTGAGGTAAATAATGAAATCAAGAGTATGATAATGCAGCCCTTGGAATTATTATAAAAATAATGTCTGTAATAATTTGCCGACCTCAATCTTTTATAGGCTCATCAATAGTACCAGCATGCCAAACTTTATTGAAGGTTTTTTGTATGTCAATAGCAATAACCCTTGTCTTGCCCCCTTATCTAATGCATGATAGCATTTTTCAGTTACAGAAGTTAGCAAGTCAGCCCTAGAATGAGAAAATTGAAACCCATATTGATTGTCATCTTTTGTAAGACCAGGATAGTAATATTGTCTGGACCACTAGATGTAGAAGAGTTTAACTGAGAAATAACAACTGAAGCCAAAGAGATTTGAATGCCTAGAAATGGGTTAACCTGTTTAATTGGAATGGCAGGAATAGTATGGTCTTTAGATTCAAGAATCATATTAGGGGGAAAGTTCTTTGTAAATAGTTCTGCTATATCCTTGGGAGAGGTAACAAGATATGACCCATGAGTTAGAGTTGGAATCTTCAACTTATCTTTGTTAATGACACTGTTAAAGAATTTTTAAAAACCTCTAGAGTCTAACTTTTTAATTAAGATATTAGATCTAGTAAACTGGGAATGTTGGTACTTTGCGTCAGATTTCTAACAACCTTTTTAAATGGATTTTCTTGCAACAATAGAATGGAGTATGTTCTTATGAGAATTGTTCTTTTGAAAAAGATGAAAAAAATAATAACAAATAGATATAGCAGCTGGACAAGAAGGTGAAAATCATATAGTAGAATGAGGCTTGACTTAAAACAGACAAGAAAGAATATAAGCTTCTGTACCTGCCTGAATCCAGGATATTATGTAGGAGGTACATTTATCAGTGGAGAGAGAAATGCTACATAACATAAGCTAGGGGCAAAGACAAGACACAAATCAAAGAGTGAAAGAAAATAACTAATGCTATCTTGGAAATGAATCAAAAAACAACTATCTGAGTAAGAGATTGAGAAATACAGAAATTATGAGCTTAAGTGCCAGCAGGGTCAGTAGTATTAAAACCAAGCCATTCAGTGTAATGAGCATTAAATTACCCAAAAAAAACAATATTGGCTGAAAGATAAAGAGAAAAGGTTTGCTCAATTTGATCAGAAACTACATCTAAATGAGTGTAGTCATGATTAGGAGAGCAAAGAAGAACAGAGAGAAAGGTGATTGAGTGAAGAAGTGCTAAATTAAAACGTATAAAAGAATAGTTCTTAAACAAATAGCTGAATTGATGCGTAAGTACAATCAAAAGCCAAGCATGTGGATGAAGGATAATAGTCTCTCAAATAGCAAACAAGTCTGGTGATTTTAGGAAGAGGTAAGATTTAAGTGATGGAAAATTACTTCAAAGACCAATAATATTTATGAAAGATATACTTAAATGGTTAGGTGTTAGGGATGGTTTTTTATGCCTAATATTTTTGGTTACTTTGAGCATGGTTTAAGTCAAATAGAAACTGACTCATTCATATATAGAGCATGGTATTCCAAGCAATGAGCTATGCAGTTTCCTCAGTCCTGCTAATTAACCCAAAATTGTAACATAGGGCTCCTTATTTGGACTCAACAATGCACACTAAAAGCACTAACAGGGACGCATCATGGTACTGGTATTTCTTTGATATTTTACAGATGTTGATGGAATCAGCCTCTCTGAGAGCTACTATAGAGTTCAGGAAAAATCTTACCACCAGCCCACCTCAGAACCATTAAATTGAGCTTTAGAGCTTTACCCTTATTATTTAGATGTAAACACAGATTTACATCTACACCAGCATAAATGGTCCTCTGACATATAGAGATATGAATTGCCAAACCATAGTCACTCTGAAATTAGAGGAAGAAAAAGGGAGGAGAGGACAATGATAATGTGAATTCCTAAAATCAATCCTCTATGAAATTTATTCCTGGCTATTACTATAATTTTAAAAATTTTATTTGGACATTAATCTGATTTAGTTTAGTAGTCAAAACTGGTTATCACTATACACCAAAAATTGTTTTATATAATTTGTAAAAAAATTTTTTAATACATTATGTAGAAAACTTTCACCAAAAAGTTAATACAAAATTTTTTTTTACTTAATTAGTAATTTTGTTATGTGTCCTCCACTTAAACCTGATTTTAAATGTATTCACTTTTATTTGGGTTTGAGGACCTAAATAATATAGTATTGTATAAGCTTTGCAACAATTTATTGTATTAAACTAAAGAAATATTTCTTATTAAACTCTAGAATATAAAAAAAATTAACATTACATTACAATGAACAAAAAAACTTACATTTATTAAGTAAATAGTCATTATTTTCTAAGTTACATTTGATAGACTTAACACTAGACTGAACATCTTTAGTTATTTCAACATGAAGTGATTCCAAAAATCCTTTTAGCTAAATTATACAAGGAATGTTTAGTCTGAAGCTAAATTTTGTTAGTGTGTGTGTATATATATATATATATATATATATATATATATATATATATATATACACATATATATATATATATATATATATATATATATATATATATATATATATATATATACACATATATATATATATATATATATATATATATATATATATATATATATATATATATATATATATATATATATATATATATATATATATATACATATATACACACACACAAACATTGCTTCATGCAACCCTTTTTTTGTAAAAAGTTTTGTTTACACTGGTATGTAATTTATAGTAAACAACTTAGCATATAATTTTTAATATATAACATAAAGTACTCACTTGGGAAATGACACAGAATAAAAATTTGCAATAAAAAAAGTTTATTACTGGTTTACTATCTATATAATTAAATGTTCATACACATTTTATTCAAAACTCTGGGACATTTAAAACATAAGAAAAAATATTTATTACTATTGCATATACTATTCTCATCACATTGAAAAATTTATATAAGTAATATCTCAAACAAAATCAAAGAATATTTTTTTTTATTAATGAGTATTTAATATTCTTTGCTTAATAGTCAAAATCAGCAAAACTGTTGCAATAATAAATAAGGTACAATATTTTTACAACAGATCAGGTAGCTAAAACTGCAACATAAATGCAGCCAAAGGAGATTTGAATAAGTTTTAACTGTCAGATATAACTTCAAGAAAGCATAACAAAATCATCTTACCAAATAACAAAATGGTCTGAACAAAGTTTAAATAAAGGAAACTTTTATCTCAAAAGCAAAATGCTTCTTTCTGACTCTTTTATGACTTACCTAGACACAAAAAAATTACTAATGGTTTTATTGAAAACAAAAATGTACAAAGGTTGGCAGTTTATTTGAGTTTACTAGAGCTCAATGACCTCTAGTTTTTATAGGTGTTATGTAGAATTTCTGATGGGTGGGCAATAACAACTGCAACAACAAAGGCTACTGCAACAATAAAGGTTTTAAATGAATGTCTTGAAGCAAATGAAAGTGTTTTGCCCATTACAACTGCAAGTCAGATAAACGAAGTTGTATTAATTAAAATAAGGTAAACAAAACTCTGGCTGGATAAACGGAGCAGTATTAATTAAAATAAGGTAAACTAAACTCTTTTAAGAATTTAATTAGCTAAGGAAGTGTAATACATCAATATTTTTTATCAACCCAAGTTAAATTTGTTATACATAGTTGAATAAATATTTTTCTAGGCTGATAAGTTTTACAGTTTTTATAGAATAATAAGCTTTTATGGTTTTTTTTTGGCTGATAAAATTTTACAGTTTTTCTAGGCTGATAAGGTTTTACAAATTTGCAGTGAAGCTTTACTAACTTTAAAAACACATTTCCTAAAGGTAACTATAAGTATTTGCAACCTAACAGTCTTTAACTTAAGTAACTTTGTCACAGGATTTCATTTTAAAAAAACCTAACACTTTTTATCATGCAGGATTTCTTGCTAAAGAAATTTATAATCTTTCAGTTTGCCTTTTTAATCGACAGCTTGATTCAAGCATTTTTTCTGCAAACAAAATGCAAACAAGTAAGAGGTCGTCTATAAAGTACGTACGTTTTTTTTTTGCTACCCCCCTCCCCCGCGCAATTTGCCATACGCTTTTTTGATTACTCTCTACCTTCCTAAAAGTATCTACGCGTTTAACCTTCCAAACCAACATTTTTATGGTATTTTTTTTAATTTAATGTCTCCATACTTTTATAATTGACCTACTGCCCCGCTTATCTCAGAAACGCCATTTGTAATTTATAAAAGAATTAACAATTGTAAATATACATACTTAAACTATAAATTAGAAGTCTGGGTATAAATTAACAAAATCAAATAAACTATAATAAGTATAAAAAAAAATTATTTTTGACAAATTTTACAAAAATAAGATTTCCTGTAACATTTTAAAATTCTTAAAATTCTTTTTTTGAACACCTTTTATATACCAACAGAATTTTTTAAATAAAAAGATCTGATTTTAAACTATGAGTTTAAGATAAAGAGATTATTAAACATCAGCAATAAAAACGACTTATTCCTGTGGTAGATCCTTGGGTTATATTATAATTTAGCATATCATCTAATGAGTTGACAAATCTCTTGTAGACAACGCATAGTCCTTTTTTATGCATTTTATTAATAAGATTTACCTTTTGAGCAGAACATCCAAATTAAAACATCCAAATTACCAGTGTAAAAAACTAGATAATATAAAAACATTGAATAAAAGAGTAAATAGTTTGCAAAAATATTTATTTTTTGCTGTCCACATATGATCATCAAACTTTAAACCTTTATCAATTTTAACCCCAAGAAGTCTAAGAAACCTTAGAAGAAGCAAAAACCTTATCATTTCCAACATTTACATATAGAACTTTACAGATTTTTGAGCCAACTAATAGATCCTAATTTTGTCCTCTGTTTACAATTGGATAGGTAAGATAGTAATAACATAGGTAGATAACAACAAGATAGGTAACAAAAGTTCAAATCATTCATTTGAAAACCCCTAAGCTTTTAATTTGGTTAAAGCAAGTCATGAGAAAGTCTGAAGTTAGATGCTTATGACAGATATGAAGATATAGAACCAATGATACCTCATTTATCTAAAAATTCCTGCTATTTTTTTTTTAATTAAAATGTGTGTGCTGTGCACCTAGGCTCAATAAACACCTATATTTGCTCATATAAAATCATCTCAAACCAACTCTCACTAAAAATACTTTTAAGAAAGCTGGAAAAATAATTATTGGGCCATAGTTTGACATATCCGGGTTATTTTTCTTTAAATCAGTATGAAAATCAGCCATTTTTAAAAAAAATCAAAATTCACCTTGAGATTATACTACTATTTTCAGTTTACTAAATCTCAAATCTTATCACAGAAGTTAGGTTCTAGAGACTTTTAGAAAATCTCAACATCTCTAATTACAGTTGACTACTTTATTGTGGTTACAACTCATTAACTCCAAAACACGAACCTGGACAAACAAGGCTGCATCACAGAGAAACAAGAAACAAACCACTTCTAAAAATAAGGCAGAACTATTTACAACAAACTTTTTCTCTCATTCGACACTTGAATCTTATGGTTATACTCAATCTACCATTCCAGTTAAACAGGTTAATCATTGTTACACATAAAAAATCACTGTGGCTACCATTGTTGAGATCATATCTCAATAAAACGACTACTGTTAAGACAATTTCTACTATGACTTGTGGTCCATACAACATTCCTTTTGTAGTCTTACAATTGTGTTCTCTAGAACTCTATTCAATTTTTGCTAAACTATTTAGTAAATGTTTGAATGAATCTTAATTTCCTACCTGATGGAAAATAGCAAATGTGATTCCAAATTTTGAAAACTCTGATAAAAACTCTGAACCATCCAATATTGGCCATTGTTATAAGCAATTTCTTTGTTATAAGCAATTCCTTTGTTATAAGCAATTTTTTTTGTTATAAGCAATTTCTTTGTTATAAGCAATTTCTCTGAGTATTTAATCAACAAATTTCTAACAATTTTCTAACAAACGTCTGACAATCAATACAACTCAATCTTCTCATTCTACAGCTAACTTGCAAACTGCTGTAACTGAAAAAATCTATTCTACATTAGAAAAAGGCAGCATGGCAAGGATTATTGCCCTTGACATTTGAAAGCTTTTGATAAAGTTTGACGTGCTAGTCTTCTCCATAAGCTTTTTTACACCCAATTCTGTTTTCTTCCTCAAAAAATCTCTAATTTTTCACTGTATGGAATACTGCTGTTATATTTGGGCTGGCTCTTCTAATTATGCTCTTTCTTAAACAAAGTCCAAAAAAACATTGTAAACATTGTAAATGAATCACTCTTCTACCGTCATAAAGTTGCTAACATCTCTTGTGGCACAAATCCAATGATAAAATATTACTAGTGGGATGATAATCGAATGATAAAAAAAATACTAATCTGATAAAATAATACTAGTGCAAAAGATAACTGGCAAGTGGGATCCCGTGTGTTCCTAATGTAATATAAGCATTGCTTTTATAAAACATCATTATCAGGATCATCATTTGGTCCCACATTATTTTCCAGGAGGCATTTGGTTGATTAAGCTGCAAGTTCAACTCTTCCATTAGATTGTGGGTAAGCTGATGAAATGTGATGGGAAATATCTCATTTGTAAAAATTCTTTAGTTTCACCAAAGATAAATTCATGATATTTATACGAATGTCAAACATCTGAAAAACTTTATACCCGCCAAGATGGGTGGCAAAAAAGTGTAAACAAAAATAAGATACTAAAAGCTGATCTGAAATTGATTATACAAACAAAAATGTCAGATCTAGAGATTATTTATGATCTGTATTCTTTATCAGAAAAAGACTGTGAACTAACTAATAATATAGGCAAATTGCCTCATCTAACTTTTGCTGACATATTTCAATGATATAGATTGGAACAGAGCTTTATCTAATAAGAACATTGAGGAAAGTTATTATAATTTTCTACATTATTATTCAGCTGCTAGCAAAAGTTTCATAACAAAAAAATGCATGAAAAGGTTTAATAAATAATAAAATAAAAAAATTAGGTTTAATCAAGAGTTGAAAAAGAAAATAAAACCCAAAAATTTATTATGGAAAATGAATAATAATAAATAAAAACAATAGTAACAAAATAACACATGCATTGTATATACATCTATAACACCTATAACATTAGTTACTGAAATAAATGAATGTCATATTTCTTCACTAGCACTATATTTTGTTTTCTTGTAACTTCCAAATTAATAGTAGTTGCATGTAGCCTTGTTGGAAATTAATTAGTTTATCATGCAAAAATTCTTTAAATATCTTTTTAAAGTTCTAAAGCAATCTTACTAGAATATTTGTTTAAACAAACATGTAGATATAT